GGAGTAGATAATGCCCCGGCATCAGTACCCCATCATTGGTTTTAATGGGAGGAATTGTGGCCCATTGTTGATATCAGTGAGAACGAATAGTGCTCAATTGTTGATTATTAGTGAGAAGAATAATGCCCCATTGATGGTGTCAGTAAGGGGAGTGGTGCTCCATTATTTGAGTCAGTTGGTGAAATAGTGCCATAAAGGCCAGATAAAGGTAAGCAAAGGCCACAACCGGCCCCCAGGTCGCAGTTCGGAGACCGCTGGTCTATATGCATCTTACTTACGAACAAAATAGCCAACAAAATGATGTCTGTAAGTCTTTTTAAGTAGTTTACAATAAAATGGCACTAGAAGTGTATATATTTAGTCCAAGTGCCGCGCAATCCATTCACAATCCCCCTGAAGAAGTCACGTGTGTGTTTGACAAAACGCATAAGGGCGGGACCTCTGGATGATGTCACGATGTTCAGAAATCATAGCAGTGAGAGGTATTGCACAGGACTGCTGTATCTTACTGTATGTACACGCTGTATATCCAAGTGCGATTTAGCACCCTGTGCAAGTGAGTGCAACTGTATTTGTTTTATTGGAAATAAAAATACTTTTAAGGATAAAGCACTATTTTAAGTTTCAATTTGCATGAGACGGAGTGTTGATTTCGGAGAAGGTGAGTGTAGCACAGAGCTGATACAAACAACATCCATGATGTCCATGGAAGGGACAAAAAGCATTTTATGACCGAATATAACATATATATGAGCAGACATCTGGTGGAGGTGTGATCACTTACTATTGCTGGATGTTCTTTAATATGTTCTTTTGGTCTCCCTGTCGTTCGTCCTGTGTATTGGTACCCCCAAGGACAAGCCAAGGGGTAGTAAAAAAATAAGGGAACTGAGGAAGAGGGAATCCTTTTGGATCCATGAGCTCAGAACTCTTGATCCCAGATGTTTTAACAAGGAATTTGACTTGAACTGTGTTTTGAGTGATTTTAAAAAACATGCCTTGAGGGGAAGAGTGTCCATGGAAAGGACAAAAAGCGTTTTTATGTCCAAGCATAACTTGTGAGCTCATCAACAATAGGTGAGCAGACATCTGGTGGAGGTGTGGTCACTTACTATTGCTGGATTAGCGCAGATGGTGGCATTTAGTGAAAAAGCACAGTATGATGTTATGAAAAGGACTTCATGTTACATTTTATCACTTTCACGTTTTCATTGGATTATGTTTTGAGGGGTTGATATTGCACTTAATAGCACTGCACAGTGAGTTGTGATTTTTAAGGAATGAAAAGGTACTTACAACTGGAAAAAAGATATTTGTAAAGTTTCAGATGTTCATCAATGTACAGCAAGAAAAACTTGTTTGCATTTGGAGGAAATGCACCACTATTGCTAACCCCCTAAGAATAGGCATCTTGCAGAAATCACCGCAGAATGACAATGTTCTACTTCGAAAGAGATAAAAGAAAACCATAGGGTAGCAGGAAAGGCATGAAAAATATTGTGGACTTTGCAAAGTCTTTGTTCATCTACTCATTATAAAAAGGCACTGAGCAAAAATAATGTTCATTTAGGGGACTGATTGGATTGTACTGATGCACATGTGGTGCCAGGCACAGTAGTCAGATATGTTGTGTGACTGCTCTGCCCAATAACACTAATAAACATAATGTAATAGCATGCCAACACATTTACAGCTTCTCATCTATTCCCAGCCTAGATGGGTACCATCTAAACTCTGGCACAACCTACTGACATTTGTAGTACAGTGGAGGTAATTTACTAAAACTGTATGATGCAAAATCTGCTGCAGCTCTGCAAAAACCAGCTAACTTTCAGGTTTTATTGCCAAAGCTTAACTGAGCAAGCTGATGTTAGAAGCTGATTGGCACAGCTGCACCAGATTCTGAATACACCAATTTTAGTAAAACTACCCCAATGGCTTTGTTGGCTTTAGCTACTGTCACATTGTAGAGATTTGAGAGTCCAGCTGGATTTAACATTGGCCCAATATTAAATGCTATTACCCCCTTGACGCCAACACTTCCTGGCCCTTTAAGGGGCTTGTGATGCTGGGAGGTGGTGGGGTAGGGTTCTGGGTCATGTGACCACTGTGATTGGCTGTCACAGTGGTCACATAATCGGAAAAGTCACGATCACGAGTAGTGATTGGATTTCTTTCCATGAGGTGCACTCTCTCATGGATGGGCACACGCTCTTAGCACATGTTTTGTTTAAGCTGGCCATACATTATACGATTTTCTTGAGAATTTTGCTTTAGATTTACCTAAAAACCTATAATATAAGGGCAAACCTAAACAACACTTTCAGTTGTATCCAATTAGGCCTGCCCTTGCACTACTTAGTTGAAGGTAAATCTAAAGGAAATTGGGCAGAAATTGGACAGAAAATTGTATAGTGTATGGCCAGCCTTACTTTTGGTATGCAAATATGTGGCCTCTCAGCCTCAAGGCCCAGTCAGCCAGAGGCCGCATATTTTTGTACTGCAGGCTACATCTGTAACAAAGTCTGTTGGTATAGCTTAGCAAGCACAGTCCCTGAAGTTTTCAGTCCTACTGACAAGTGTAATGCTGATTTGATGTGCTGGACAGACAGGATGTTCACTGGATAACAGTCTTCTGTATTTTTGGAGTCATAGTCAGCACAGTCTTGTGATGACATGGAGACAAATATAAACGGTGGTAAAAAAATAAAGCAAAACAGAGGACACCAAATAGCACAAGTAGAGAATTCTTTAGTCAATAAAATGTGAAATAAATTCACTTTCAAAGTCTTTTCAAAGTCTGCTCTTTCCTCCTGACACAACAGTGTGGCAAGTTGTTCTGCTGCTTTCTGTCTCTGAGCTCTGTTGTACAGGGACTCCAAAAGGTTGATACAAACTCAAATTCAGGAGATGTCAACAATCACAATTTGAATATCACTGGCCCTTCCAGTCAGAAGTTTAGATCCGGTAATGGTTAGTCTGGTTCCTCCAGATTTTGGCCCATAGGATGAAAAAAAATGCTGCAAGCACTGGATTCTGAAAATGAACACACAACCTGTATGGATTAAAGATGAGCCATCCTACATCTATTTATGCTATTGGACATCTGTAGTCCAGCAAGGTGCAAGGTTTGGAAGGTGGTGGAGAATGATTTTGCTTTTCACTAAGTGGTGGTGAAGAGGGGAGCACTGATCACATGTTTAAAGGATGAGACACTATGATACTTTTTTTCGGAGGTATCCCTTATATGATGATGATGAGCCATAGTATCGGCCACAAGTGGATCCTTATGGGGAGTGAGATATAAAGCCATTTAAAATTATCTTTAGGGTAAGAGTATGTTATTCAGCCATCTTTGGTGGACTCCGGGTTATTTTTTTTATATATAAGTTTTATCATAAGTGCACATTAATATTGATTTTGTTATAATTGAGGGTAATGCACTATATGCAGCTATTTTGTTTTTTTTGAGGTACACATGGACACATAAGGATTGATCTTGAAGATAGATCAAGTTTGTGTATGATAATTTGAAGATTCACAGACGCTGAGGAGGTTTTTTGACTTTGGACTTTCTGGGGGGATAGTGTGATTTTTTTTTTTGTGTCTAGGGGATTTATGTTATTGCACGATAAGAAATTTTAGGGATTTACAGATTGTTTGAAATTTATAGTACTGTATATGCAAAAAAATCACTTCCTATGAACCGGAAAAATTAGATCTAGGGTGCAGTCATTGCAAAACACTGTAAAGGACCCTGAAAACATAGAAACACCCTAAGACAGTGAGAAGTGTGTTGCTGGCAGGATCACCAGGTTAAAATAAAGAAAAAAAACATATTAAAGAAAACTAATCCAGCCACCACATGTAAAGACTATTAAGCTGCATTATAATAAAGTATGTTTTTGGGTTTAATACTGCTTTAAATACAAAGGACCAATAATAACTGCCAAAACTGTGCAGAGGAAGGAATGGCTTGAAAGGAGGGTAAATTAAATCTAGGCAAGACTAATCAGAGCTGTCATTTAATGAGAGCAATGCCTACACTCACCGCCCACTTTATTAGGTATACCTCGCTAGTACCAGGTTGGACCCTCTTTTGCCTTCAGAACTGCCTTAATCCTTCATGGCATAGATTCAACAAGGTGTTGGAAACATTCCTCAGAGATTTTGGTCCATATTGACATGAGTTACTGTTGCCTTTCTATCATCTTGAACCAGTCTGCCCATTCTCCTCTGACATCAACAAGGCATTTTCGTCCACACAACTCCCGCTCCTGCTCTTTTTCAGAGCATTCTCTGTAAACCCTAGAGATGGTTGTGCGTGAAAATCCCAGTAGATCAGCAGTTTTTTGAAATACTCAGACTAGCCTGTCTGGCACCAACAACCATGCCATGTTAAAAGTCACTTAAAACCCCTTTCTTCCCCATTCTGATGTTTGGTTTGAACTTCAGCAGGTTGTTTTCACCACATCTAGATGCCTAAATAGATTGAGTTGCTGCCATGTGATTGGCTGATTAGCAATTTGTGTTACCAAGCAATTGAACAGGTGTACCTAATAAAGTGTCCGATGTGTGTATGTGTCCTTTTTTTTTAACCACTTCCCGACCGGCCAGTGGCACTGCAGGGTTGTGTGGCCATTTATGAGTGGCCTCCCGGCACCCTGCTTGTGCATGCTTCCCGGGAGCACACAGCAGCGCGATCCGGTGCCCTCTGTGTCCTCCGGACACAGTGAAACACCAATCGTCGGACGGGACCTCTGTGCGAGGTCCTGATCATGTGATCACTGATTGGCCAATCAGTGATCACATGCAAAGTAGTAAGCAAGATGTCACTTCTGACATCATTGCTTACTACGTGTGAAATCTGTGAATAATCACAGAGGTCACATGGTACAAGGCTATTCACAACAGCCTTGTACCATATGACAAGCTGTGACTAATCACAGCTCACTCAGTAGTTTTCAATGGCTGCAAGAATGCAGACAGAGAGAAAGAGAAATTATTGCTTTTACATCCTATATGGGTGTAAAAGCAATTAGTGTAAAAAAAAAAAAAATCTTCATCACCCCCCAAACGTAGTACAGTGTCACCATGGTGACACTATACTGCTAGGGTGAAATAAATAAATAAATAAAATAAATAATAATAATATAAAAAAAAAAATGTAAAAAAAATGTTTAAAAATTATAATTTTTGGTTATAAACTAATTTGGCTTATTTTTTTTTTTTACTAAAAAGATAACTGAATAAATTTTGCCCAAGATTTATGATGAAATATTATTTATTTGCAAAATTTTATTAGAAAAACACTTTTTTTCAAAATTTTTGGACATTTCATTTACATAGCAAATAAAATAAAAATCCCAGCGGTGAATAAATACCACCAAAATAAAGTTTTATCTGTATCAAATAAATGGTAAAAAATTCATATGGGTACAGTGTTGCATGACCGCTCAATTGTCATTCAAAATGTGATAGCGCTGAAAGCTGAAAATTGCCCTGGTCAGGAAGGGGGTAAAAGTGTCCGGACTGGAAGTGGTTAAAGTAACTTTTATTTGTCATAGTAGAAGAATAAACAATTCTTACATGGCAGGTAGCAGTATATACCATTTGCGCTGTATGTTAAATTGCAGGTGTCAGCACAAAGCAACATTGTTACGTATTGTTGGTCTGTTTCATCAAGACAAGATTGTTATAGTGCTCCCTTCTACAGGAAAAAAAAAAACAGTAAAAATAAAACATTTAGCATCTAACAGAGAACATATTTTCATTGTCTCATTAACTTGCAGTAGTTGTAGATACTATTTGTATTTCCAAATAATTTTAAGTATCAATGATCCGCAGTGAGATCAAGAGTCTGGAGACTTATCAGCCTATGCTAAATTTGTAGGATTGACGACTGTACTAAAAGGAGAGGGTGACAGTCATTTGAGATGTATCCTACGGATCCCACATTTTGGAAGTTTGTTTGTGGACGTCCCCTAGGTTCACATGCAATATTGTCATTGTTAATTAGTGCTAGCAATTCTTTTATTTTAGGGGAGTATGTACATCCCCAATGAAGCACAATTAGTTTTCCAGCAAAGAAAAAAAAGTAAACTGTTAAGTGTCTCAGAGGCATTGGGGTTATCTTACAGTATGTGATTTTGGGAGTAGGACAATGATTTTATATGAAGTATCAAATATGGTATAATGGGCCCTGGATTCATGCAAATCTTGGTAGAATGCTAAGAAAAATGCCCTTAATATCTTGTGGGGAGTCTACTACCAATCCTGCTTTCCTAAGTATTCTAGGAACAGTCAAGGGGCATATTCAGTTTGTGTAAGGTATACTAATATATTACTGTTTATTTATCTTCATATTTAAAGATTTTGTAAGTTTGATATACTGTAGATTTTTTTTTCAGATTATCTAACAGTGCATGTTCGTATTTTCTAGTGCATTGTTGCAATTTCTCTTGGTTGTGTGGTGTGGAGATAATGGTCTTCAGCAGTGGACACGGCTGTTTCTAAGTGCTTTGTTTGAGGTTATATTTATAATTACATACTGTGCATGTAGGCAGGTGACTAGAAATTATTGTGGCATATGTCTCTGTTTGTTATGTGTCATAAAAGGAATGTTTTCCTTTATTTTGTTTTATTACTATTTGCTTTTCTGCATCATACTTGTTTATGCTGTGATTACAGTATGTATAGCTGCTACTGGCACTGAAGGAGCTAAAGTGATTCTTTTTTTTATTTTTTTAAAAACAACAAGCATGTTATTCTTACCTCCTCTGCTTTGTACAGAGAAGCCCTGATGCCCCTCTTCTCGGGTCCCCCTCCAGCACTCCTGGTCCCTCCCCCTTGCTGAGTGCCCCAATAGCAAGCTGTTTGCTATGGGGGCACTGGTGTGTGCTCTATCCTGAACATGCTTTGTGTGTCCATAATACACACAGAGTGTGGCTCAACCCCACCCCCTGCTTCGTCCACATTGGCTGTGATCGACAGCAGAGCCAATGGCTCCTGCTGCTGTGTCTGAGCCAATTAGGAGGGAGAAAGACATAAGAGGTTCTGCTCTTGTGCACATTGCTGGATTAAGATTGGGCTAAAGTAAGTATAAAGGGGTTAGTGAGGGAGCTGCTTGCAGAAGGTTTTTGACCTTAATGCATAGAATGTATGAAGGTAATTAACCTTCTACCTTTAGAACCTTTTTAAAGTCTTTTGTGAAGAGTCATGCTGCTTCTCTGTGTTCATGTGACTGCCCCCTGGTGGAGATGCAAAAATAGAGGGGAAGAGAAGCTTCCAGAGAGTTCTGCTCCATGCATGGGAAGGGAACAGGAGCTGTGCTAGGATGTGATTGTTATCTTACCTAAATCCACCCCACAGTGAGAACCCAGTAAGGTTTCTCAGGAGATGGACATTATGGACTTTCTGCATTAAAAAGGTATGATAACTAAATGGGCCAGAAGGGCTACCAGAAGGTACCGCAGTTACAAAGTTTGATTGAGAATGTAAACCATGCTGCATACGTGGCGTATTACAAGAACAGAGCTTATTAGGGGACAAGACAAGTTAGAGAAGATGCAGTACCAATGTCTAATGTGCAGTGAGGTTTTTTGGAGGAAGTTATATTGCCATTGCTAACAGTACTAGTGTCGAGTGCATACGCAGCCAGCTGGCGAGGAAGCGGTGTGACTTGGCATAGGTGATGGAAAGCCCTGGTAGTGAAAGGGCTTGGGTGCTTAGGCTCCTTCCCCAGTGACCAAAACCTTGATACTAGAGTTCAGCTTCCTATTCAAGTGAAACACACAAATCAATGTCACTGGGAGTGAGGTGATGGGTTCCTGAGCTGGGGGAGAACAGTACAGACTCAGTGTTACCTGCTGAGAAACCCTGCACAATACAGAGAGAAGAGTTATGATGTATATTGAAGAACTGTTATTCATAGTGTACATGAGTATGATGAGTTGAAGAATTGTGCCATGGATTGCAAGGAGTTAATGGTGTTCTTTTGGAGAAGAATCACTTTTAAGTTGGAGCACTGCCTTAATTCCAGCCTTGCTTTAAATGGCATCCTCAGCCTGCCTTTGGGGGGGGGGGGGGGGGGCACTAGCGAATGCTCTCCAGGTCCCCACATGGGTGCAGTAAGCCCTTCTACATCCACACCAAGTTCTCATTTCTCAATGGGAGATACAGGAGTTGAGACAAATAGGCTGTTCACTTTGCAAGGGCTTAGTAAATGTGGTGAAAAGTCACTTTGCTGAGAATACTCATTCAGTACAAGGAAAAACAGTTTTTGCAATCACATAATTGGCCAATGAGAGTCAGCAGAGCTTCACCTCATTCACTAAGATAAGGGAAAAATGAGCTTGCAAAGTAAAAATGTCCTTACAAAGTGAACAGCCTGTTTGTTATCCCCATTGTGTTATTTATGTCAGACCAGAAGAATTGTCTCTTTCACATTCTTGAGCAACAGTAAGGTTTTCCAGTCAAAGGGACCCTATACACCAGATTTTCAAATAAGATTGTTGAGAAGCTGTTAAAGTGTTACTAAACTCAGGACTCTGCATTCACAATATCTGCTCTCCCTCAGTACACAGAACATGGAGATGCAGTTATTTTAGTAAATATAAACTGCTAAATACCTTTTATCATCAGCAGTTAGAGCAGTCTTGTAACTTCTATCAGTGTTCATCCGAGCACTGGTTACAGCTCGTAGGAGGAATTTTCATTCTCCTGTAGGAGGATGCAGAACCCCTGACCTCTGTCTGGAGAGTGCTTATTGACACTGTGTTGATCACATGGACTCTCCCGAGAAAATAAAAACTCTGTGGTAATACACACCAAACTGAGCATGTGCAGCTTGCACCCAAGCCTCTGATTTATTTAGGCGACACTGAGAAGGGGAGGATCAGAGACGTCAGGATCAAACGTACATTTTACACAATGTGGAGGATTAACCCCTTAGGTTCCACAGTGAGTATAACAAGCAACACTTTAAGGTCAGTGGGGAGTGATCCAATATAAATCATGGAAGATATCAGTCTGTTGCACCCAGGGCAGCGCATCCTGAGAGGCAATACATATATTTCCTCTAGATAGAGTTTGGTGTCTCTGTTAGTGACAGGAGAATGCTTTAGTCTCGGAGAACATCAAGAGCCATATATCAACTAAAGAGTATTTAGGGAGCCTTGTGTCTAAAATCAAAAGCTATTTTGTGGGAGCACAATTTATCTAAAACTAGACTAACAGAACTCTGCTAAAGTCTCCCACAATAAAAATAGTTCCCTTAGCAACTTAATTTGACCCATAATTGAGCCTGAAATGTGAATGGAGTGAAATGTAAGGGCTAACTAGAGTAAACTGGACACCTTGTACTAATAGTCACAAAATAAATATATTTCCCTACTGAGTTCAGTCTTACCTCTACTGAAACTCCCAAGAACTTAGAAAAAAGAATAGAGACTTTCCCTTGGAAGATGTAGTATATGTAGAATGGTATGCCTGTGAAATCCAAGGTCTCTTCAAGGGCAATATTTTGGAATTCAATAACTTGACACTAAAGTCAATAAAATAACAAACATGTTATACTCACCTGCTCTGTGCAGTGGTATTGCACAGAGCTGCCCGATCCTCCTCTTCTCGGGTCCCCTCGGTGGCGATCCTGGCTCCTCCTCTTCTTCATGTATCCCCATAGCATGCAGTGCCCGAGCTGTGTGTCTATGGAGCTGCTCTCCATAGATTTACAATGTGGCACTTAGCCCCTCCCCCACTTCCTCTTCACTGCATTTGATTGACAGCAGCAGGACATTTTGCTTGAGTGCTGTGTGAAGAGGAAGAGAGGGGAGAATAGATGCCGTGCACAGAGCTGGATCTATTCTACCCTCTCTTCCTCTTCATACAGGGAAGGGGACAGGGAAGTAGAATTTTTTTTTTAATGTTTTAGGCACTTTCAGCAGCTGATTTAATAATTTGCTGAGTATGCAGCTTTTTCTATGCTAAAAATGTTTGTGGCAAGTGCCCAGGTGGGGGCAGGGAGGAGTGTGCACTTTTGCCAG